GCAAACAGATGAATTTATCACATTAGAAAGACTTATCTTAACAAACACTGATACCCCCTTACTAAGAGCATTTGGTGGCAAACAGATGAATTTATCACATTAGAAAGACTTATCTTAACAAACACTGATACCCCCTTACTAAGAGCATTTGGTGGCAAACAGATGAATTTATCACATTAGAAAGACTTATTGAATGAGCTTGAATTATTTTTTTTCAAAAGAAGAGAAATTTCAGTATCACCCAACTGGTTAAATTCATACAGTTAATAGGAATCCATGACCAATCAAGTTAGTTTAATGACTACCATAAATATCTGTATGAATAAATTTCCAAATGTTATACAAGTTATTTATAAATAATGAATGTAAACATTCCAAAAGTTACAAAGCCTGAACTACTATTCAAAATTATCAAAAACAAATGTGTGTGTGTGTGTACATACAAATCTAACGAGTAAAACAAATATCTAATTATTTAGTTTTAAGTAAAAAATAATTTCAGTCTAGATTTGGGTTTGTTTGTTTGTTATGGATTTTAAGCAAAGCTACACGAGGGCTATCTGCGCTAGCCATCACCACCCACCTCCAACTCTTGGGCTACTATTTTATCAACGAATAGTGGGATTGACCGTCACATTATAACGCCCCAATGGCTGAAAGGGAGAGCCTGTTTGATGGGATGGGGATTCGAACCCACAGATTGCGAGTCGATCGCCATAACCATCTGGCCAAGATTTGTGAAAAGAAGAAAAGTTCCTTGTATATAAATCTACATTTGTTGTTTCTTCTGTTCGTGTTTTTTTTTGTACAATATTCTTGTTGAAGAACAAAAGAAAGAATGCTGTATTTGAAATACAATTAAAATAAATTACCATTATGAGAGCAAAAAGTTTGTTTGCAAACATTTAATACAAGAATTTCCTTCTTATGTACCTCTTAATCATTCCAACATTTTTAACCCCTTTCTTACAATTTGCTATTTAATTGGTTTTAATACATATAGATATTAATTTAAAATCAACAGTGTTTAAATGCTGAATAACAATTTATTACATAAAAAGGAAGTTAAGATGAGACGAAAGATTGCTTAAAAAAAAAACAAATGGATTTTCATTTAAGTTTTTAAACATTTTTATAATTAGGCAGATATTTTACGAAGAACAAAGAGGCTTAAAATTCTAATCAAACTAATGAATATGTTAGAAAGAATCAAATTACATGTAGTGCTAACAACTCCTTACTTGAAGTAGAATTTTAAAAAGAGAATAACTGGATGCGTAACTTACCCATTCCATACTATTGTTTTAGCTCGCTGAACTGCTTCACAAAATTTTGCAACACTCTTGTCTCCACAGTCAAGACCCTGAGAAGTCGAATGTAAAGCCGTTATGCTAATGTACGTTAAGTTTCCGTAACTTTTCACTGTTTTAATTCATTATCAAAAAGTTTTTTTTTCCCCCTACATTTAATGTTAAATATCAGCTAATTTTGTAAACATATTAGAAAGTATACAAATTTAGGATCAGGTATAATCTCAAGATTTGTAACACTACTATTTAGAGACAAGCAGAATGAAATTGTGTGTGTGTTTACATTTACCTGTACGATATAAGGAAGTAATACAGATAATACACTGGCACTTAGTTTCTATAAAACGTACCATCCACCCTGCAGGAATACCAGAATCTAAAGTAGCTATTTTAGTGGCAGCAGCTTCGTCAAACTTGTCGGCAATGACAAAATCTACAGGCAAGTGAATCTGAACCCCGTTTTTCTGAGCTTTTTCCATAAGTTTTCCCACAATTCCTGCTCCTTCTTCATCATACAATGAGTTTCCAATCTTAAAAAAATATAGAACAGAAAAAGACTGATTGTGAAAAATGTAGTACAAAAAAAGGATAACATATCAACAAGACAGAATTTTGGCCTCAAATTTTAAGGAGTTAAGAAATGTTATATATAAATAAATTATGATTCCAGAAAAAGAAAAAAAAAAACATTTTCCTCCAAACTGAATTAGTAAAGAACTACTACTAATTAACAGTTAACATTCTGAAGAAAGAACAAATATTAATTATTGTCCTTCTTGTGCTGTGGGCAAAATACACACCAAACATCTTGAACACAATATTGTACTTCAAATATTGGCTTCTCATAAAACAAGGTATTCTTAGATCCCAGTTTAATGCAAAGGCTTGGTATAACTTTGTGGTTACCATATCAGACTGAAAGTCTGCTGGTTTGTGAATTTCATCTCGCTGTCATACATTAAACTACAACCTTTAAGGAAAGCACTGCCAGACTAAAAATCCAAGAGTTCGTGGATTTTATCTCACTGCCACGACAATAAGCTCGCTTTGTTTGTTAACTCAAGTATGTGAAACATTAAACTAACGAAACTGAAAACCACCTCGACTATTTTCTTCCATAACAAACACAATGGCTTCATCAGTCATTGTTTTGGCTATTCTGAATGTCAAAGACAGTTTTTATTTTTAACAAGTTTAATGAAAAGTGTATTATTCTGTACATGGGAAGACATTACAGCTATATGAATAAGATCACAGCTAATACAGTGTTTCCATACTGAAGAGATTACATATAAGGGTTTTGTAGAAAGATGATTTTGATTTGAAAGGGCTCAGAAACTAGAGCACTTTTGAATAGTTCATATTATTTTTCAGAAGTAAAGAGGGTAAAGGTTAAGGAATGTGCAGTAAAAAATATGAAAAAGCAGTACACATCATGTAGGCAGGAAGTGTTTGTTGAGAACTGACCAATCCTGACTGATAAATGTGTCATTAAGAAAAGAAAATATTTAGTTCAAGCTAACAAACTATTGAATAGTCTAAGGTGAAACGAATTACATACTTATATATAATAACAACAACCATATATAGCAGAGACCCTCAAAAAGTTAGCAGTCAAATTAGTATCTGTATTGCAACAGTATTTCTTTAAATACAAAATTAGTACAATAATACAAACAAAATGTAATCGTAGACACCAAAATGTGCAAGTCTATTTGTATTTCGGTCGTACTTTATAAAACTTTAACTAATGTTAGGCCTAAGTTCAATAAAGAGATAAATTAACCCTGTACCGTGTACATTTTTTAAATTAGCTTAGTTAGGACTAAACTATACTGTACTAATTACTATCTATAAATAAAATTATAATGTTATTCTAGGACTTAACGTCAGACGTTTTCGAAAACTTCAAACTTTTAATGTTATTGTACTAAATGGTTAATAAAGAATATTTATATCCACCTTTTTGTTATTCCTTCATTCATAGAACAGTTGTAGTGACTTGTTAGTTGAGCTTTCCAACTCTCTGGTGCAGGCAGGTGCTTGCACTATTTTTCTCTGTAAAATTCTTACTGTGCATGCTTACAAGGCGTACCAACAGCAAAATTACTGTATGCCAAGATTTGGGTGTATGGGATTAGAATTATTTTGTATTATTCTAGAAATCCTGTATCTAAAAAAGTACTGTTGCATTAAAGACACTAATCCGAGTGCGAATGTGTTACAGATCTCTACTAGTCTATTATTATAATAATACTCAATTTTTGTCTGTCACGATAATGTGTGCACACCTTACTATCTAAATATGCATGTGCACACATGTCACTGCTGTAACAGACACACAAACAAGCATATTATTATATAGATTAAAGAGAAAAAACTGAGTTGATGTGTTAAGATAAAAGAACGACATTTAGATGGGTTAGTGGGATAACCTAGGAAAGCCTAATGGTTATGAAATAAGTGTAGATTGACCCAAGAAGTTAACAGTTTCATTTGTTTTATGCTGAAAACTATAGAGAGAGAAAAAAAATATGACATTTTAATTATGTTAGAACATATATATAAGGATGGTTCCTTTAGTGATCCATTTTTTTTTGGTATTCAACTCAGGACGTGCATCATCTTCAAATTCTAAAATATCTCATTATAAAGTTAACATAGTTTGGGATTAAAACATTAAACTACAGACTTATGAAATATTTAAAGAACTCACCACTAAGTGTACCAGAACCATCATACATCCCAACAAACTCACCTCCATTCCATATAGTTGCTTTAAGAAGGTAAAAGCCATACCTCCTCCAATGATCATCTCGTCAACTTTATCCAACATGTTTTCAATTAGCTGTATCTTATCCTTGACCTTGGCTCTGTTTGAAGAAACATTTTTTTTTAACAGTTATGAGAATTAAGTTTATAATGGTGTACATAAATTAAATAAACAAATAAAGTACCACAAGACATTTCATGCATAAATAGTTTAAAAGCCAATGGGTAATTGTTGGATTAAAGCCAGAATAAAACAAATTTTTTTGTTTACATTCACAACACCCTTATCTAACAAATGTAAATCCACAATAATAATTTTAATGTAATGTTAAGTTAAAGATTACTTTACTGGACTGCATTGCTAAAACTCATGGTTTCTAAATTATTGTGTAATTATTTCCGTTATGGCATAGTACTAACTTTCTACAAGTGCAGATGTCATACCTCGAGCAGAAACTTTTTACTATCAAATCATATTTCTAACTAAACAGAGGCCACATTCAAAATTCTGTCTGAAAGTCTGTGTACTGGGCAAGTTTTTCTTCTGAAATCTGTCTCTAAATCTGGTTTCTAAATTATTGTGTAATTATTTCCGTTATGGCATAGTACTAACTTTCTACAAGTGCAGATGTCATACCTCGAGCAGAAACTTTTTACTATCAAATCATATTTCTAACTAAACAGAGGCCACATTCAAAATTCTGTCTGAAAGTCTGTGTACTGGGCAAGTTTTTCTTCT